GCGTAAATGCTCGACATACTTTCCTCTATCTCCATCTTACTCTCAAAACATTTCTTCTCTCTCACACACACACACACACACACACACTCTTACCATGTATGTAACCCAGAAAAAATCGAGATATAAGAAAGCGAACGTGCCTAGAAAAATCTTTCCTATCAACGAATCAACTAAAGTATATGTAATCCTTCGAAAACAATTTTCCTTTATTTATGCTAATAACATTATAACTGTTAATAATAATCCAGTTAATAAATTCATTTTTATGTCTTTCAACGTCAATTGTCTGTAACTATAAAAATATTATTAAGAATTTTGTTAATATACTAATATGTATTTTTATGATTGATTATTTCCTTGAAAGACCTCGTCTTATCAGCAATTTCCAAGAAACATAACACTATTAAACATTTTTCTCTGCTAGTTTCAATCGATCCATCAATTAATCTTATATAAAACCTATTGTAATATGAAAAAGTACGAACAAGCTAGGTAACTTAACTCACTTAGGAAAGTCACAGTGATGGAAGACCGTTACAGTCAGACATCTCGAAATACGTGTATGGGTATGTACGAAATTTCGTACGATCTATCGACTCGAACGAAATGGCCAGCCTGTCGGCTGTAAATCCAACGCTTGGCATGATTTACGTATCTACGTAGAAAAAACTTTCTTCCTGCATTTATTATTGTTCATTGTCGTCGAAGAAGTAAAAGCTACAAAAAAAAATCTGGAGAAACACTCGTTATGAAAAAAAAAAAAGAAAGAAAGAAAAAGAAAACAAATTTTCTCCAACTAAATTGGTATTGTGTTCCAACGTCTTTATATATATATATATATAAATATACTCGTCTAAATACATGTAAATTATTTTTTTTTCTTTTCAAAAGTTTACCCCGAAACTCCTATCCCCTTTCTTCGCAAAAAATATAAAAATAAAAAACAGAAATATTCACTCGAATCTACGAAAAAGATAATCCTAAACTAACTACATTCAACGTTTTTAGCCCTTTGTAAAGAAGAAAACGTTTACGAAGTTTTTTCTCTGTCCAGAAAAAAGAGTAAATTTTTCCCCTAGAAAAATGAAAACTGATTTATTATGACACTAGGAAAGTTAACATTACCAACGGTACTGCCTCATATTACTTACAATTCGAAAGCTTTGTGCCACGAAACGTACAGCTAATATTGTAATTAAAAGGGAAATGCATAAAGAATATACACGTACCACGTACATGCCTTACAAAGAAAGATACGAACATACATATTATACACATATACAAGAGAAAAGGAATAGAATAAAAAAAAACAATTCTGTAACCTGCGTACGCAATGTTACGATTAATAAATATCATTTTTTACCCAATGTTATACGTTTTACGAGCGTGCAATTGCGTAATTTCCGTTAGCATAGAACGTTACGTAGGTAATGGAATGAAGATATGCAGAACAGAAATGCACGGAATGTTGTAGTTGTATGTACAAAGGAAAGGACTCTACATACCGAGCAAGTTCTGTTTCAATCGTCTGATCAAAATCATTCCTATCTACTGGCTATTACAACGCACCACCTACAAGCTTGCCACTATATTTGAACTGAATCGTCATGAAGGAAGATTTACGTTGATCATCTGTCGTATTAAGTTTAATTAACAACAGACTTTACATCTCACTTCGAAAATTTCCCTTTTGCGAGTTCAATTGAATTTAACAAGCAGATATTTCTCTCTCTCTGTCTCTCTCTTTCTAGTTTTAAATAATGAAATAAATCAGACATGTAAGATATATGATAATATAATAAATATAAATAACCCATACAAGACATAAGTAAATGCATATAAAATATTTCGTTAATAATTAACTTTAAAAACAAACAATACGTAATAGTTTTTTACTTGGAAATTAATACTCTATCAAACTGCCATTATAAATATAGGACATTCTAATAAAAAAAAAATCAAATTAACTTTCAAATATCCTAATAGCTTCTGCTTATAAAAATAATCATGTACACTATATTGTACTCTTTTTGATATCATTTAATTTCTATAGAAAAATGTTTTATTATCTGTGATTTAAAATTGATTAAATTTATTCCAAATAATCAAATGTGTCTCTTAATAATATATATATACTATTTATTTATATAATTATATGCATAGACTAAAAATCACTTTAACTTTAATACAAATTTAAAATGATCGAAGACGATAATTTTGTCAAATAGATCGATCCATCGTAGCTACTAGAATGTAATCGTTAATTCTCGCGGGAATTATTAATGCGCGGCTTACGTCAAAGCGCCTGATCGATTAACATAGGCCCTTCCCAACTGCTCCTGCAGTTCAAAGATATATACACATAGAGAGCATGTATTTATTGGTATACACACAACACGCACACATACACAGTCTCTTTGGCCGAAGAAACTTCTCTCTTTTATCGCATTAACAATGAATCGATCGTAAATCGTACGAAACTCCCCGAAATAAAAAGCTAGCGGTAAAATGGCTACGTTAAGAATTCTCATCAAAGGGTAATACGTATAATTAGCATCAGTACAGGAAACTATCAAAGTATAAAATGAAATGAAACTGTTGGGATTCATATAAAAAAAAATCCTTCCTGGCTTTAAAGAACGTGAAAGTAAAAAGCGAACACGTATTCATAAATTTTTATTCGCGTATGAAATGTAACTGTGATAGAAAGTAGATCAACCTCCGAAATGATGCTCTTTAATGTTTTTTTATGTAATACGATATGTGACGTAATTCTGATCTGTGACGTCAATTCTATTAAGTAAATTAAAAAAAATATGCAATTGTAATTATGTACGTATAATTATATATAAAAATAAACTATAAATATTAAAAAAAAAATGTTATCATGTTAAACAAAAATTAGATATGTAATTATTAAAAAAAAATAAAAAGAAATATTAAATAGTAATTGTAATAATATAATAAACACAAACTAAATGAAATTCTAAAGATATTCTAATAAGAATAATATAATTGAAAAAGAAAACTCGCGCGTGCGTATTCTCCTCGTTCGACATGCCGTCTGTTCAGCAATCACATTAACTTAGACTCACAATCAAGTTCGTCCTAAGTAGAAAGGAACCCTTTTTAAATCCCTTTCGCTTGAATTCCTTTTTTTAACTCTTTTTTAACCTACTATCCACGATAATCTTCTTAGTATTAAAACGTTAAATCCTGAAGTTAACTTTACGCTTGAGTTCTCGTATCCCATGTACAGACTAAACTATACAACAATACATAGCTTGTAGGAACTAATTTAGCAATACATAGGCTGCATAATACGCACAAATAATATCCTCAGGGCAAAGGGAAGGAATTCGTGTACAGTAAACTTCGAGACGCCATCCTCTACGCCATATCGCCGAAGGAAGTGAATTTTGTTTTGACGATCTCTCTCCGCCACAGATATCCTGGATTATCGTGTAGATCGTCTCCTCGTTGTTTAGAGAAACAACGCTTGATATTATCCCTTAACGCCTCCTCTCTCTCTCTCTCTCTCTCTCTCTCTCTCTGCTTGAATACTTGATTATTACACTATACACAATGTTCTGCTACGTTAACTTCAATTTTATGGATAACAATCGTATTGCTCTCTATTAACTTTATAAACTGCTCCATAAAAAGTAAAAAAAAATATAAAAAAATAAAAGACAAAACAAAAAGTTCCTAGATATATACATAAAACGTCACAATGATTGGACAATCGGCTTAGGGGTTTGCGTCGGCTTGCGTTTTCACACCCTTTACAACAGATTCACTCTACCACGTATGCATGTCGGCTTATTGTCAAATACTCTAACTGTGTATCATCCTGAATCTTCCCATATTTTTCGTAAATTTACTATCTAAAATACCCTTTAATACTTCTAAAGCTTATACGACCGTCGATGACATCGCGCTACGTAAATCCTATGTATATACGTGTATATATACATACTCGATAAGATCATAAAAATGTTGATAAGTATCCAACGTGTATATAGTTGCATTAACAGCTAGTAATTTATTATACCGTTAAATTATAACTAAACGATACGCGAGTATACATATTTTATTTATTTCCTTTTGTTTTTTCTATTTTACAAACATATTAAAACAATGCGTTTATATAAATTTCATAAGCGTTCTCCCTATTTCTCTCTTTTCCAACGATATTTCGCATCGACTGTAATTTTTTATGCTGCAGTGACGATTATTATTATCCCACAAAACATATATCGTTAAGTCGTATTTATTATAAAAATATGTTTAACAATACACTTTGTAATTTCAAACAAAAATTAGAAATCAATAAAATGTTAACATTATCAAAATCACTGTATATAATTATAATAGTATTATATAATTCATAACGATACGTGTCCCGAAGAATGTGATTATATATTTTACTACTTCGAAATAAACTAGACAAATTAAAAAAAAATAACTTTTTAAACGAAAACGTTACCACCATTCTCGGAACGATTATCGTAGCGGCAACGATTGCACACCAGTTGCAGGAATACTTTCATCATCCACCACAATCGTATACTCTCGCCAAACAAGGTAGTTTAACGTTCTGCAAAAATAGCAGATGTACCTACCGAGCCATTCAAACGATTTAACTCATACGAATCCCCTATCTTTTAACAGGTCAACAAAATTATAGATATTCTTTCTCCATTACAAATCCATAAAATCGCCGGGTATAAATTAGTTTTTCTTTAAATATCTATATATATTTCCAAATACAATATCTCCAATATTAGTAGCTAGTGCATGGTTTTATTAAAAAAAAAAAAATATATATATATATATAAGAAAAAAATGGAAAACTACAGAGAAAGAAAAGCCATGTTAACACTAAATAATTTCACGCAAACTTGTTATAACAAAGCTGTATCTAACAATATTCTATTAAAACGTTTAATAATTTTTTAAACATCTCTTGTGTTTATATATTTAAACAATAAACTCACCGGTAAGAAGAAGATGAAGGATAAAAAGAAATCGTGTGGAGAACACGAGGTTCCGTTGCTGTTCCACGTGGTTCCATTTTATTTTCCATGACCATCGAAGGATACTTCGAACGAACTTCATTTTGACAGTAATGATTTTCCTTAGAAGAACGAATCTCTCCCAGAAAAGAATGATATATAGAGAAGATAAATAGAGAGGGTAAGACCTTTCAAGGCGGAGGACTTGCCGCCCTCCGCCCTCTCCTCGAAAGAGGAGAAGGTCGATTTAGTTGTCCACGCAGAACTTTTTATGTTATTATCCTCAATTTTTATTTATATAATATTTATAATATAATAATGATTTAGGTGCACACACGAAATCTCCAGCCCATAACCAATCCGACCAGTACTCGTCGCACCGAGCGTCAGCGAGAGACTGACCGGCTGCTTGCGTTCGAGCCGAATCAAGTTTCGCGGTGAATCGGTACTCGGAAGTGCTCGGTAATTCTCGCTGACGCTCGGTTCCTTCACTTTACTCGTGGTACCGACGCTTTACCAACTTATATATATACTAACTCACCTTGATATATATACATATACAAACGTATACCTTACTTACGTATTTGTATTTGTTTATACATATGTATGTAATGAGCGTGTGGATTTGCACGACATGCGCGAACAATACGAGCTTACGAGGACCTCAGACCGCAGTCTGAAACCACCACTTCCTCCTCCTCCTTCTCTTTTTCTTTTCCCCTTCTATCCTTTACCACCCATTTACCAATCCTCATCCCTTAGAGACCACCTTACAACTCCCTTCCCTCTCTCCCACTTCCCTCCCTCCTTACGAGTACACCTATACCTTCAGCAGCCACCATCCTGTTACGTTACTGACTTCGTTCAACCTTCCAACCCCTTCATCCCCCTTTCTCTTCATTTCTGTAGAATACCATCAACCACTAGCCAAACTCGGCCTGCAACCTCAAAGAGCGAGAGAGTTCGGTGTAACTTTAGATTCCCACCGCCGACGCCACCACTAACGCAAATTAAATAGTTCACCGCACACGCGGCCGATTAACTTCTATTCGCTATTACCTACCGTTCAGTCTTTTCTATTTGCTCACGATTATTTGCACGACGTATTCTACTACATTTTCTTCTTTTAAACCACACCATCAAACATCCGATTATTAATGAGAGTTAATCCCTCGTAACACTTAAACCGCCGCGTCATTCATATATGAATGAACTTATATTAACTACTCGCAAAAAATATAAGTATGGAATTTGGAAGAATATTTTAACAAATATAATATGACTCTAAATTATTATATAAGAAATATAAAAACATAGTTTTAGTTTTTTGAGAAAATTATTTTGAATGTAAAATTTTAAAACAGTCTATGCAAAGTTGCCATTTGTCAGGAGAATTTGAATAAAAAGTTACTGTCTTCTATACATTTTTTCTTGCTTCTGATCGGTCTGAATGACCTCTATTTTTTGACTAACATAAAGTACATGCGCGTCTAATTTTTGTTTCAAAAGCATTTTTCCAAATGGTAATATTACACCGACTGCTTGAAAAACAAGGTTATTTTGTATCTTCAGCTTTAATAATTTTTATTAATTAATTCATTTATTAATAAATTTGCACTCCTAATAATTTTTTAGCTAATATTTCTTGAAATTTTCTTATATTTACTTTCTATTTTGTGACAATTTTTTCAAACGATAAAAACTTTTACAATTGTAATTCCTAAGAGAAGTTTTATCTATCATTTTATTCTCTTTCTAACGTAAGTATTATTTCATATGAAAACAATTAACCTGAGTAATTTATTCTACATTTTCCTTTATTATATGTAAGCATAGCTAATAGTTTTAATTTTTCGAAGAACTGCTGGCTTGTAGAAGTAGCACGAATGTTAGATAATTTGTTAGACTTGATAACACTGTAAAAGCAATGCATTTATCATAATTAAATTTATTTATGAACTAATTGTAAAATTAGATATGAATAGCAATATTTATTCACAAAAACGGATATCTAGATCTTATTATCATTATAAGCCTGCTTTTTTTTAGCATTCCAAACAATTAGAAGTGTGAACCGACAGAGATTTTCTTGCTTTTTCACTTAGCAGTTTAAATTTTAATTAAAAAATAACTTACCTGATTTATAATTCATCAAAAAAGTAATTTAAATGATAATGATTACCTGTACAATATAATTTTTATTCATTCAAGAAGTCCTGTCTTGAAAAAAATACAATTTCAACGTATCATCCATGTTTGACTATGTGTGATGCTCATAAGAATATTTCTACAAAAAAAACAATATAATTAATAATATTTTTAGCACAAAATTATAACAGTGATAATCTAGTAAGTTACCTATACCATAAATAATATAATATTCGACAAAACATTTTTGTAATAACATTTTAATTATTTAAATATCGAATCTTGATTACGATTTATTTTTAAATATCTTTTAAATATCACTTCACAGCATGCACTGTTCACAATATTTATATTGTATATTTAATGAAGCTTTATTTATTATATATAGTTTATTATTTATTAATAAAAACAAAAATATATGTATTACAAATAATACACTTTTATACAAACAATTTATTCTATATTAAAGAAATTAAATTAAAATAAAACTTTCAAATATTGTAACACATGCATAATGAAATCTCCTAGAAACTTTTAGGGAATTAATAGTACCACGTAAGAACAGAGGCGCTTTAAGCTGCACGATAGGTTCACCCTCTAGGTGGAAAACTATAAATTAGAAGAACACACGTGACTTTACTCTATATCTGTTTCTTATTCAGTGCATATGTAATTTGAAGAAGAAATTATAACCTTTTTGTTGATGTTGTGAAAGTCGTAAAGTTCACTATCATTTACGCCAAAAATACTTTGTTATTAAAAAAATGTCAGATTTTAAGAATTTAGAACAAGCATTAAGGCGCCTGAGAAAAAATGTTGCAAAATTTCCAATCGGAGCAGTTTCGTTGTATGACCATAAACCTGTAGAAGAAAAAATTCAAATTTTAAGAGGATCAACTAGTCGCCTAAATTCCAAGAAGATAATGGTTAAAGCTAAAATAAATTACAGTATGTTGTTATTTTGTATTAAGATAAGATATTTTTTTAAATCTTTTTCTCATAAATAATAACAATTTTATATTTGTTGTAGCAAAAAATAAATCATCTACAAAAAGTAAGGAGGATAGTTTTGAAATGCTACAAGATTCTACAGCCAAAGCAATTATAAATAATAATGCAATTAAACTATGTCTTCGTGGTTGTACTATACAAGACATTATGTTTAATAAATATAAAACTGACATTAAAAAGTATGATCGAATATCTTGTAAAAAAAATTTATATTATTTTTTATCTACAAATATAAAGATAAAATATAACAAGAATTATTGAAATAGGAAAATGATCATGGCTATGAGGAAGTTATTTATGTTGAACGACGCTATCCTGTCAAATCAACAATCTGTTGAAAATGCATTTCAAAAACAACTAATTTTAAAAATTGAATGCCAGAAATCTATACTTGATTACCATACCTTTTTAAAGGAACAAGATACTCAAAGAAAGGAAAAGTTGCAGAAAACAAATCCTACCATAGCAGAGTAAGCAACTACTTTCATACAATTATTATTTTTACTAAAATTTTTTAAATTATATCTAATAATTCTAATATTTACTTTACTAGCTATTATAATATATTATCGTTTTTACAGGAATAAAGAAAAAATACTAAAATTTATAAAAAAAATAAATATTATAAAAAAACTTATCACAAACTTCGTAGCAACTTCAGCTGTACTCTTAATGAAAGAACCTCTCTTAATAGAAATGTTAGAAAAGCATGGAGAAATAATTAACGAAGAAACAATAATGAAATTAACAGAGAATGCTCGCAAGGGTAGAAAGTGAAAGTGTAGAAAAAGTGTTCGTTTTTTTGTATTTTTTATACTTTTATACGATAATGATGTAATTAATCATAATCATAAATATTTGCATTTTTAATAAGCATTTCATTTGCGTTTAATATGAAAATGTTCAATAAGATTAATGTGAACTGATTGACAAAGAATATCAGTGAAAGTATTGAAAAATTTGTTTTAACCATATATATGGTCTATCTGTACATTAGTATTACAAATACCTTATTCTTCTTTTCATTATGAACAAAGAAAAAGAAACATTAATGATACTTTGATTATCAAAAAGAAAATATCAAATATATATAGAAAATATTTTGATTAAAAAAAATGATATTTCTCGCAAAATTCTTATTAGTATATACATACATTTAACAAAATCAATTGGCAAATATATACGTTGCAGCATTATAATTATCTTCTCCACATACTGTATTTTGTTTCATTTTCTCAGATTAATCGCAAGCTTAATGTGCAGGACAATAAACTGAAAGAATATACTTGTCCAAAAAAAGATAGATAAAAGATAACTGAGAAACAAAATAGATGCATAGAAATGTAAAAAATGTACTTTTAAAAAAAAGACCAAAAAAAGATTTATGGTTAGCCGGAAGCTGAATATATTTTACCTAAATATGAACATTTTCGATTAGTTTAACGTGTGTCTTATATTTTATCGATCATTTGAAAAAGAAATATGATATAGTTTTTGGTAAGATTATTAGTACATATTCACATTGCATCAATTATATTTTCATTTTCTTTTAACTGCCTTTCTTAAAAACCACCAATTTTTCTTTGGTGTCGTCATGCTTATGCAATAATAGAAGTATTCAACCACATCCTATGTGGTTATTTGACAGATATAATAATACACAGTTTATTATTTATTGTTATATACATATATATGTATCCACATATGTGTATGGTATGTGTGCACGCGGGGGCGCGTGTATTGTGGCGAGGGAGTGAGAGAACGTTGAAACTACTACACACTCCCGTTACTTTGGGCTTTTCGTAGCATTTCTTTATTACTTTATTTTTGTTTCCTTTTTTTTATCTTTATATGCAATTTTTTATCCTCCCTCTCTTTCGGTGCAATGTTTTCTTTCTATTATATGTACAAAATAACATTTAGTTACACTGACTCCCTCCCCGTTATATTTACTTTCACAAATATGTCAAAAAAGATCTGCATGTTTTTCTGAGTTCTCTCTGTCAAATTGCGCATGCATACATACTCAGATATGAGATATTACCAACAAGCACGAGCTGCCAATTTCCATAAAAATAGCTATTATTTGCCGAGCATCTCCTATTGAATGTTATATCGATAAACTATGCATATAACTGACACACGTAGGTAATTCTTTGATATTAAGTGGAATAAGTAACTATAATTTAATAGTCAGTGATATAGGAAATTACTATCGAAAATCATTAGTATGTTGTTTAAAAAGTATCATTTTTGGGGATTTTAATCAAAACGTGGTATTTTTTTAAATGAAAATATTACGACATCCATACAGAAATTGAGATCTACACATAGACTGCATTTCTATTGCATTTCAATGAATGAAATATAAATAATATTAAAAAGACATTATATGAAAAAAAAACAAAAACAAAAAAATAATGATGACACTAAAAATATCAAAGCATCGTATGAACTGAATATCTTAACTTATAAAAAATGCAGCTTTGACTAATTATTTGTTTTTTATACTTATTTTACAGAAGTAATGAAAGAAAAGCAAGACAGAGCATTTGTATTATCGAATTATACATTGGAATAATGAATATCATGACGATATAACGATACAGTCTGTTCCCAGCAAAATGCATGACCATAAAGACAATATCATCGATCCTAGGAAATAAACGTTTTTGTATATACATACACACACATACATACATATATATATTTGCTGTATATATGTATATATTCATTATGTATGTATGTATGTATGTATACGTAAGTCGCTCTTGGTCCAAATTATCTTATTCAATTCGTAAAGATACGACTAAAGCATACAAACTGAATCCTTGAAATACAATATCACTGTGTAACAATATATAACAGTCCTTCTATGGGACAGGTGTACAGGAGTAGTTAGTAACAAAATTACAATCTCGATCTCAGGCATTATTTACTCACAACCATACTTTTTTTTTATCCAGCAATCAGCCATAATATATTAAAAATCGTCTAACGAATTTTATGAGCTAGATCGACTGCATAACAGGCAGCAAGGTCATGTGTCTTATCCACGATTATTATTATTACTATTCATTCCTCTTATCACTTAAGCCTTATTTAAAATTCAATATGAGATTTCCTTTGGACTCTTCGCTTTTTATCTTCACATATTTTTATTTTATTTCTTTTTTCTATTTTTTTCCTCTTTTTTATATATTCTTATTTACTTAATCCCTTTTATTTTATTCCATTATTTACCCCCGAAGAAGAACAGACATATCTAACCGTAAAAAACATGACATCTCTTTCTTTTTGTTGTTTTACATTCTTTTCTTTTAGTTTTTTAGTTAGTGCGAGTATATTTATATACATGCGCGCTACACTCTGGCGGGATACACTATCTACAGCATGAAATATTTCTTTAAAAAGTTTCATACCACAAGAGACCTTCTCTTTGCGGCGAATAAACTAATAATAATAATTATTATTATTATTATAATAATTAAAACAAAATAGAAATTCCCATTTCTCTCTCTTTCCACATATGCAGCACACATGCGCAAAACACTTTTGGACACTTCACTCATGTCTATTATTTTCGCTTATCTTATTGTAGTAAAATGTCTATATTTGTTCTCATCATTTTTGCAGCGCTGCTGCAATTTTACAAAAGGAACGATACTATCCATTCAAATCCGGCAAAAAACGTTTAATAACGATCGAGAACATATATTACAATCATCGATCCATTTTTAAACACATCTCTGATCGCTCAAATTTTTTGTTTTCCTTTTTCTTTTTCTTCAAAATAAAATAATAATAAGTACATGAATAAATCTATCGCCGATCTTAATTAATTAAATATATATATGTATCGATGAATTCACTATATATTAACACTCGACAAACGTACGTAATTAATTTGATACAATTTTTTATCTTCTGACTTTTTCGATTTTTACGATTTTGCTATCCTTTATAGCAAACAGACTACTTCGTTTGACTACTACATTTTCGGGCATAAAATAAGATAAACAAAAAATAATAATTTCAGAGAACTAATTTACAAAAAATCAAAGAGTAATAATCATAATAATAAACTAGTTTTTGTTACAAATTCGCAATATTCGGAATCCATAAACCCAGTAACATATTACGAGAATACAATGTTTCATTAAAAATTTTATTTATTTTATGTTTCATAAACAATTAATAAGAAATAAAAATTCTATTAACCTTGGATTATAAAGTTACATTTTTAAATGCTAACATTGTAATTTATAAAACTATTAAGAACTGTATGTGTAATAATGAAATAAATAAAATAAATGTTTATAATTTGTTTAAATTGGATTTACTACTCCCATAAGAGTTATTAAAGAAAAGAAAACTAAACCATAAGTTAAAACTACTTTCATGAGGAAGCATCACATATTTATAAATTAAACTACAAATAATAATAATAATAATAATAATAATAATAATAATAATAATAAAGATAATTATAATTATAATATAATAATATTAATAATAATAAGATCGATGTAAAACATTCGATCGCGTTATATACATATAAATTTGCGTCCGATATCTATATTGCTAAACAAAAAATGTCATCAGAAAAATTAATGTTAATTACGCAATAAGATTGTATATAAATTAAAACCGATAAAAATTCAGTTTAAATAAAAAGATATAATGTAAGTATATTGTTTTTATAGCAATTTTTAATATTATTTTTTTTTAATAAGCAACAAAATAGTATAAATTCTGAAAAAACAATAATCTATGACCTACCGATAAAACTATAGAGAATTGCAAATTTGTAACAAAATTATTATTTTCTATATATTAAATTTTATTTACTTGTTTTTATTTTTTATTATTGACAAGTGCTGCAAAAATTCTTTTCATGACCCCCCCTTCATCTTCTTTTTCTTTAAATGGGCATTTTCATATTAAGTATCTCTTTATCGCTCGAGCTCGTGATAAGGACATTGGCGTGCATTTTATAATTTAGCAACATCTTCGTAGTTTTGATATTATACAAACACCATTTTTTCAATGAGTTTTTCACAATAAAAATTCACAATATTATGTATCACATCACATTAAATCGCTTCTGCATTTTGTGTGATGTTTTCTGATAGTCTAAACATGGTAAGAAACCTGCACACTTAAGTTAGCAATATCTTCAGATGATAAAAGTTTCTTTTAGAAAATTGTTCTAATCAGTATGTTTTGTCTGTCACAGGCATTTTTTTGTGTTCTCTCTCTCTCTCTCTCTCTCTCTCTTTCTTAGTCTCTGTTTTTCTTTTTCTTCCTGATTCCTTTTTTTCAAAGAGCATCAAATCTTGCATAACGTGTATCGAAAAATAAAAATGATTTTTCGAATTTACAATTTTTTTTACATGCAATGGTCTTCTAGATTCAAGAAACGATCTCTTGAATCTTGCACTAATGGAACACGGATCAATGGTGTTTGTGGTAAATACAGTACAACGTATTGTGTATGTTCTACCCGGTGTTGACGTAATGTAAGTTATGATCTAAAGAGACAAAGATTTCTTTACTTCATCGATATGTTATGAAAACTGGAATTCGCGACTTTATTTTTTTTTTTTTTTAATTCAATTTAATTTAATTTTTTTATTATTTTCTTTTCAATATACGATTCTTATGTAATAATTTGTTAGAAGGCATGAAACTGAAATTCTAATACTGTTCTAATACAGTTATGTTTCAACACATTTCTTTATATTTCTCTCATGACATACCAAAACAGATTGAAAATATTTTTAAATAATAATAAAACGCAAGTTTTTATAATGAACATCGCACATGCTTGCACATGAAGAGATACTTCTACACATAATAAACGTTATGTGCAATTAACAGCAAAATCACTCAGAGTGCATTTATTTACACACGTTGCTGCAAGCTTATACGGTATATTTTATCGTTTTTTTATTTAGAAAAATGACAGGCAGTGTATATATTAAAGAAATAATATTCATAGATATAAATGATACACTAGTGATTTTTATATTACATTTTAATATAACGCAGCACATCCCACAAATCAGTCACAAATTCCTAAGTGCACAATTTCCTTCTATTTCTTTTCAAATATCTTATTTGATATAAACTATAAATCTATATCCATTTTTTCATCCATCTCTAAGAATAGACTTCTTATAAAAATAAGCATATGTGTGCCGATAAGAGGGGACTTGGTCAAATATTGAAAAAATTGCTCTTTTCTAATTTATTTTATAATATAAATAATTGTAGTATAAAATAAATCACATAATCAATCTTTTTTTGCTCAATCCAATATCATAAATATCGGTACATATATATTTCTTTCAATTAATACAAAATTAATGCAAGAATAATTATTTCTTGAAAGCATTTGTCACACAATAATAAAGAGAATCATAAACAAAAAAAAAGCAATATTAGATATAACACGATGTTAAATTACTATATAATAGTAAATATACCATATTTAATTAGATATGGATGAAAAGAGCCTAAAAGTTTTACCTGTAATTAAAACGAAACGATCGTATATCGTCTTAAAAACACATTAAATACGTTAGTTAGTTCACTCAGAATAGATATTTTTGTACATATTTATAAAACATTAAAATATATTGACGGATTCATGGAATTGCCTATTATATATATATATATATATATATATATATAACGAAATTGAAGTTATTATAATTTAATATAAAATCCTATCGAAGCATGTTGATTACTCAATATTTTAAGAAAATCTTTTTACACAACAGGAAGCAAGATCCAGACCTGAAAAATAAGTCTAGTAATTACAAAAGGAATTGGCATATATAGTTTAGTTACGCGTTTTACGTACGTTCTTGCAGTAGAACGCATTATACAGTCCTTCTTCAATCACAATAGAAATAAATGAAAGAAAAAAGAAACAAAATCTCTCATTTGTGTGTGTGTGAGGGGGGAAGAGTTAGATATCATATATAAAACTTTATTATTTTTCTTCCACTTGGTGCATCTAGGAATTATTGAAGTAGGATGTTAATGGTGCTGCTGCCGTATTTCAGTTTCATGCCTTTCGCATTTATAATCAGACTTCATACGAATGTAAATTTTCATTACGAAAGATACGCTACGCTCGATAATTTTCAGGTTTCCCATTGCAACGAGAGCTCAGCTTAGATTTCTTATTTTGTGATAAGATTTTTAAATACGCAATAATGATCAATTATGACACGTTCACATATCATATATTAACGGCGTATATAAACAATGCCACTCGCAATACAAGAAGAGAGTCGTAGGCACAAACGCATTATTTTCACCTTCGGTACGTCAATTCCTTACTCCTACACACACGTGGATAACCGCTTATCTCTATTGAAATGGTCAGAAAGCCGACGGCTTGTGGCTATTCTCAGTCAGCACTGACAACATTGATAACAAAGTTCATGATAAATGTACGTTGACTGGAGATATTATTGATGATAATGATAATGATAATGATAATGATAATGATAATGATAATGATAATGATAATGATAATAATAATGATAATGATAATGATAATGATAATGATAATGATAATGATAATGATAATAATAATGATAATGATAATGATAATGATAATGATAATTATAATGACAATGATAGCGATAATGATGATAACGATGGCAATGTGTGTATGAGAGAGTGCTTTATAATAACAATAATAATATTAATAATAATAATAGAATAATAATGAATAATAATAATCGTAGGAGTAATCAAAGAAGGCAAAATTATTAGAGATGTCGACGATAAAAAAAGAAGGAAAAGAAAAAAATAGTACAGTAGTAATAGTAATAATAATAATAANTAATAATAATAATAATAATAATAATAATAATAATAATAATAATAATAATAATAATAATAATAATAATAATAATGAGAATAATAATAAAAATAAAAATAAAAATAAAAATAAAAATAATAATAATGATAATAATAGTAATAGCAGCAATAATAATGGCTGTGTGGTGGCTCAATTTGATAACGGTGGTGGCGGAGTCGGTGTAGGTGTCAATGTTACAGTGGTATGCAGCACCAAGTCTCTCGAAGCTGATCTACTTCCAGCACGTAAAAGAGTGATAACTTCGTTTTCAGGATCCCCGGTTGCTCCAACGACGGTAGTAACAGCAGTAGTACTAGCAACGACAGCAGTAACAGCAACGGCATCAACAGCAGCAGCAATAGTAGAAGTATCCCCTTCCAGAGCACCATCCCTACTATCACCATCACCACCATCACCAACATCACCTTCGTCTCCTCCGCCGTCTTCTCCGCTTTTGCAGATTTTCGCCGTTCCAGGGACTCGATTTCCAAATTCGTCAGCACTATTACTCGCGCACTGTTGTACTGACCGCCCAAGACCGACGGTATCGGACAGTTATTTCTGCCTTCCACTTTTCTTCTTCTTCCGCTTGAAGAAGCAACAGCATCTGGAAATGAAGCAAACACTAATAGGACTTAGAATCGTTTTCCTTTGAGCTTAGAGCATTGTGACACTGACATGCACCATAAAATATTAGAACATTTCAAGCGTCGTCAATTGAACTGGCTTTAAGATATATATATGTATCTTCGAAATAATACTATCACCTTATCATTACCACTATTTTACACAATGATTACTCATTTTTGATAATGAGACTTTTGTTTTCTGAACTTTACTTATGTTCGTATACTATATATATATATTTATGTGCTAAAAAGTTATTTCATACAATCCAACAAACAGTACACAGTGTATATAATAGAGAGAAAATTCATACAAATATTATCTTACAAAATGAAATTTATACAGAATGTTAATTATGTTTAATATTATACATAAATATGACGAAAAACACATACAAAATTAATATTTCAATAACATTTCGACAAATTAATAACTGATTTACAGAAATATATAAATTAATTATTTTTTTAATATTCAACTAAGATTATACTTTTCTTTGATATTATTTAAAAGAAAAACCTGCATCGGCCAGTTAAATCGAGATAATGAATTAAATTCAGGAATGGGTTTGGGATTTGCAGTGAATGTAGTAGGAGCTTGCGAATTTTTGTGCAGAATAAACTTTCCACATCGAGGACAATAGTTTTCTGTTGATAAAGTTTTCATTCTGAAAATAGCAGATATGTATATATTGCAAACGTTAACATTTTTGGATTGGATAGATAGATAAAAATATAAAGAATGTAGAGAAAAAATAAAAAAACAACCCTATAACGGATATTCCACCTTCCTTACATACAATTATATATCCCAATATGACTTCCACTTTCAATCATGCAAACAAAAATATTTTTTACTTTTGTTGAATCAAGCACAGAACTATCTAATGCTAAATTTACCGTTTATTTAAAAAAAAAATATTAAAATAAAGATTTATAACAATTCATAGTATTACTAATAATGCTATCATATAAAAATATATAAAAGTAAGATCAAATTTATTAGATACATCTATAAATTTATATATTTATTTTAATAATTCAATTAAAAATTACACATACATTAAAATAATATTAACAATAAATGTGATAAACATTAAAAAAAAAAGAATTTATGAATTGTAATACAAATGTATTTTAAATGTAATACTAACTTGGTTTCATCGATCATATCCACTTCTTGTGGTGCTGTAATTGGTGTGTTAGAATGACCAGCAGTTGGGTCATCGTTAGCCAATTCTCCGTTCGTCGATGAAACAACCTATTAACAATTAATATTTTCATTAATAAATTAGTTTCAAGAAATAAACAATTTTAAATATATATATGTACATGGTATATTTTCGGATATAATAAAATATAAACATGGTTTTCATACATTTTTTACATTTTATATATATAATTTTAATATATATATATTAAAATTTATTTATTTATATTTAATAATTATAATATATATAAAATTTAATATATTATATATTATAATAAAATGTAATATTATAAATATAATATATGTCTATAAAAAACTAAAATATTAATTAATAATAATAATAATCAAAAAAGCAACTTGCAATTTACTTGAACGTAATATATAAATGTATATAACTGTACTGTAAATATTGATTACAATAAAATAATAATAATATAGAAAGTAAAAACACAAAAAGAGTTTCAAACGAAGAGAGATGCACAGTTAGGATTTAAGCTATTTTCTAAAGTATATGAAAGGGTAATAAACGTAGCATTTTTTTAATGAAGAGATAGATAGATTGATACAAAGAAAAAACAATGAAAGTACGACATTTCAATTATATTATTAAAATAAATTAACGTCTACATCTAAAAATGTCGGATTAGTGTTTATAAAATTCAATAAAACGAAAATAAGTGAGTCAACATAGACAACATGCAGCAACAAACCAAATCGCACAGACTTCTAACTGACCATAATCCATTGTTGCTTTGTCTAAAAATAGAACGCATCATTTATTTCCGGCAAATTGACATATTCCTTACAATACTGAGAAGGTGATAAGGAAAGAAAACGCGAACTAATAGAGATTTTACAATTTATTCCTAATTATTTAAATTATTTAAGATTTTCATCATTTTGATACCATTTTTATATGAGGGGAAAAATAAAAATATATTTTCGACAAGTTGTGTAAGTCTATCTATATCCTTTGGTATACAAATGAAAATTTGACAAATATGTAAAGAACATAGTAGTGTGAGAATATAAATTTGACAAAGAAAGAAAATAAAAAAGAGGAGAAAAATGTATCATAGAAAATAAACGAAAAAGAAAAAAAAATTCGAAAAAATAATTGAAAAGATAATAAAAAATGAAAGGGCCCTGGGAATGCAAGTCGACTCACCTGAACGGAGCCATGCCTATCAGCAGGTGTCAATGTACCACCGGCTCCTGATTGCTTCACTGCATCTGGCCATGTGACTATTACGCCCCCGCCCCCCGCCCCTCCACCTGTCGCGTCCTGAAGGAATACAAGCACGCAAATATTGCGATTGCAACGCGTTAAGCAATCCGATGGAGATATCGAAGGAAAGTTTATAATTAGAAATAGGACAATTCGAAATGTATGTGTACGTATATATCTATTCATTTGTGTGTGTATATATTTGTATGTAATAAAGACATAATCCTGAAGAAAAGTTTCGCTATTCAAAATTTCAAACTTTTCTAATTACAAATGTCAGATATCACCTTTGATCAGCATGAATATTTTATTTTAAAAAGTGATTACGTTGACAACGCTATCTTCTCGAATTTGAAACACAAAAGTATAGACATCGCATTATAATATATTAGAAGTCTGTCCAAATTATATTTTTGTTTGAAAAATTTCTAATGAGACTTACTAATTATCGAATTTCGACTACACTCATTTAATTTCGGTCAGTATTTTGGAAAGCTGTTGACATGACAACAAAATGATATGAAAATCATTTATCTCGTATTATATTTCATAGATAATTACAGCGTCACGAGGAAAAGGAATATAGGACGAGATATATGTCTTATGATATAATCAGTGCGAATGAATGATCGTATTAATAGACATCTTTTTTTAATAATCTATTATGAATGTGTCGCCATTATCTTTGACTAATTACGAGAAAAAAATGAGCTATTTAACACGACAAATCATATTTGTATTACTTTTTTATCGGAGTTTAGTTTACAATTAATATAATTGACTTCTAATGGCGCAAATAATATCTACTATTAGCAATAGGATAGGTCGTATCGAATTTACGTAATACATCAAGCACGATACCGCAAGGGATTCGATTCTAAATACCACTTGTGTCTAAGAGCTTCTCTTTCATTTTCTTCGTGCATATTATAACAATTATTATTATTATTATTATTATTACTGTTATTATTGTATAATGTAACAAACGATAGAAATATATTTGTAAAAATAGAATTTCAATTAGGCGAACGTTATCGTAAAACAAACGTTAATCATATTCAAGTATATTTACGAGAGTTGGGTAACCGTGCTGCATTATCGATAAGATAGTTTCATCATGCACGAAGAAATCGCTCAAAGTGTACATCAAAAGTGGCTTACATAGTGGCCTTGCAATTCCACGCGGACTTGATCCATCATAAGGACTACGTCCTCTTCAAAATCATCGTACTCCTACACATGTATACCAAGGAAAAGTGTAATATGAAGCAGAAAAAATTATTTTGTTGTTGTTTTAAATCTCACTCTTTTGCTCGGATGATCGATGATCGATAAAAACATGTAATACGCAAATCTGTCTCTCTAAAAAAAGAAAAAGAAAAAGAGAATGGGGAAAAAAAAGTATAAACGAAGTAATCTTTTCTTTAAATTTCTCTCTCTCTCTCTCTCTCTCTCTCTCTCTCCCTCTTCTATTAATTATCTTCATGAGATATTTTCATGCTGTTATTCGTATCACAAACCGCTAAACTACACACATCCATGCCGAAAAGAATGAAAGATGATAAAAGAAAATAAAATATACCTTATACGTTGTTGTTGGATGCCGATCGCGATTTGGTGATACGATGATTTCGTGGCCCGTTTGTAGCGATCCAACTGGTGTTGACTGAAATAAAAAGACAACTTTAATTAGACAAAAAAAATCTTATTAAAATATTAACATGATTATTCAATAATATAAAATTATTTATTGTTAACGTACTTCGACATGTAGTAATGAACACATTTAACAAAGTTACTTTACACGAAGTTACTTAAATCACACTTATTTTCGTTAAATGTAAAAGGATATAAGAGAAATATTGCCATTAATCGAATTTGATTATAGAATTATTGAAAACTATGGATGGAACTCGTTTTCTTTCATTCTTTCATTCTTTCATTCTTTCATTCTTTCATTATCTCATTCTTATTCCCTCCCTTTCTTTCTTTCTTCCTTCCTTTCTTTCTTTCTTCCTTCCTTTTTTTCTTTCTTCCTTCCTTTCTTTCTTTCTTTCTCTCGTTCGTTCTTTCGTCGCTATGATAATGATAATGATGATGATGATGATGATGATGATGATGATGATGATGATGATGATGATGATGATGATGATGATGATGATGTCGTTGTTGTTGTTGTTGTTGAGAGGTGATCATTACCTAAATCACCAAATGCGTGTACCATTATCACCAACCTTGTCTGACTTGTGTTTCTCGACATGAGAAGGCGCTGCAAGTCTCAACACCCTGAGCTGCTCGAAGTTGGGTGGCTAGAGATAGGTGCATTTTGGGGCAGCATGCAAACGTTAAGAAATCAATGAAACCAAAGTTAACTACTAAAAAACAAGTCGAGCATTCATAAGGAGACTCGCGTTCAAGAAATTATCTTGGATGTTTGTACTGTCTTGAGAGATAACGTAACACGTGATTAGAGAACGTGGTATGTATATATAGATTACGGTCAATGTATTTCTGTACACATTGTACTAAACATACCCTACTGAATAATCACATTTTATAGATTGACCAAAATCCTCTGAGCATTTTATACAATGCTTGGAATACATACATTAACTGTAATATATATAGATATACTTACCCCAAAGAGACGATACCTCGGAACAAAAAGAAAAAAATTAAAAGGACAATTTTGTTAAACAGACAAAAAAGAAACTCGCCATTGAATAACTTTGAAATAATTTTAATAATACAATACCGTAATATATCTTATAGGAGATGATAAAGTGTTTATATAGTAAGTAATTCATTATTGTACTCTTTTTCACTCGATATAAAAGGGTGGAAGAAAAAGAATATAAGAAAAAGAACATTAATGTTTCTTCGTTGAGAAGACGAGGCAACTCATCGACGAGAGGTACCCTCAGTATCGACTCTTGTACTTGCAGCTCTCTCTTTCTCTCTCTTTTTCTCGTCTCATATGTTACGCACGGTCACCCGTCAAAGATTTTTCCTCTTTCTCTCTCTCTCTCTTTCTATTCTTTTTCAATCTCTCTGTCCTTCATACATTAACGTACATACTCATATAAATACACGCGCGCACATACACATACACATACACATACATATAAGAATGGGAGGCGGGGGAGAGAAAGGGAGAGGTAAAAGCAAGGACACACACACAGATGAACGTGGTCATCCTTTGGCACGCACCATTGTCTTGCCGGTCCAATCGAACTCGCCGTCGTTGACGAAGCCTCGTCTCTCGTAGAGATCAAGGAAGATTTTCCTCAGGTACTCGTAATCAGGTGTCTCAAAAAAGTCCAACCTGCGTACGTATCTAAGATACGTGGCCATCTCCTCAGGATGTCCATCGCAAAGAACCTCAATTGGTGTTGCTCTTTTCGTATCCCCAATTTTCTGATATCGTTCCTTTAACGTTTCAGCTCTGAGTCCTTGCCAAGGTAAACTACCACGTAGAAAGTACATAAACATGTGTCCTAACGCCTCCAGATCGTCTCTTCTACTTTGCTCTGTTTACATATAAGAAAAAAAAATGTTTTTTTTAAATATATTATTAAATTTGTACATACCGTATACAACATTTGTTTTTTTCAAAGCTGTTTGCAAAACTGATTTTTGTATATGCGTTTGATAAAATTGCATATATAACAATTATCATTAATTTAAATGAACATTTACAAAAATCAAACTTCCACTGATTCTATTTACTTCTTTGATACATCTTTAATGCAAATAAGAAAATAAAGAATAAATTATGAAAGATACATCATTTTATGAAACATTAGCTTGGCATCGACAATGTGTCAAGGACTATATACTACTACGCGTACATTTTATGTGAAAGAAATGTCAGGAGTCTATTTCTTTGACTCGGCCTTTACCTTTTCCAAGGTGGGTGTTGATACTCATATAACGCGCCGTTCCAGTAAGACTCTTGTGTTCCCGGTAAGGTATGTGCTTATTCGTTTCCAGATCTATATACTCTTTGGCCAATCCGAAATCGATTATGTGAATAATTTTCTCTCGTTTAGTCGTACATCGTCCTATCAAGAAATTCTCTGGCTTGATATCACGATAAATCAAATGTCGACTGTGGACGTACTCTATCCTATGGAGCTGAATCAGAATAAATCATAAATTATTTCTAATGTTTTTCTAACCTAAATATTAATATAATATTTGTTAAATAAATAGCAAACATATAATTATATGATATAAATATAAGAAGAATTCATATAATATATTAATGTTTATTTATGTCTTTCTTTTACTCTCCCGATTACGGATTCTAATCACCTATTCAATTCTATCATAGAAATCGCGTCCTTATCTCGCCCTTTTGGAGTCAACAGCACACGGTTTTTACTATTTCGAATCCATTCATTTTATTAGCCATGCCCACGTTGCTTGATTTTATTGAATTGACAGAAATTAGTAATCAAACGTGACTAGGCCGTTGTTGATTATATATTTTTTAATTTTTTTCATTCAAACAATTACTTTTTTCGGTTAAGTAAACTTTAAATTTTCAACGTAGTCTTGAAATTAATTGCAAGAAAAAAATAGACACAAAACTTTTCATCCCACTCCTGTATATATCGATATTATACTATATAATAAAAGATATAAAATTTAACGTTAAATTTAATAAATATTAATAAATTTATTTAGACATTTTTTTCAAATTATAGATCATGACGCATATCCTTGTTAACCCTTTCATCGCTATATACCATAGACTTGGTTGATCGTATAGCAGGTTGTTGATCGTATGTCACTAACATGAATATCCGTTTGACAGGTGCTGTTACTTCTACCTTTAATGACGCACGTTCATGATTATTCCCTGTCAGAACCCGTGAGTTTCCATATTAATTAAGCGACGAAATATAAAATGAAAATTGATATTATTAAAATTATTCAACGGAACAACGTGAATTAAAGCAAAGAAAGAATAATGTAACGCCAACACCAAGTCTAAAAGTATACTAAGCGCGAAATTATTAACAAAACAATCTCGAGTAATCTTGTTTGCAATAAAAATAAACATTGCCGGAAGAAAAGACATCCCCGAGTAATTGTAAGCTTCGGTATTCTTCTACGAAAAATAATATATAAAATAATCCCTCAATTTTTACGGCAGATAATTGATTTCACGAAACCAATGCGTAAATGTAAAACACGAAAAACCGTTTAAAATAATCATTTGCTCTATATTCTCAAATAGTTATTTAGCTCTTACTCAGGTATAATAAAAAAAATATTATTTTACGCAAATTACGAAATAAAATGCACCGAGAAATCTCCGAATTTGTTTTCCCATAAATAACGCATCGCGGTTACACCGAAAAATGCGTCACATCAAAATGATAAAAAAAAATATTTAATAAATTGTTAAAAGAATTATTATGAAAATTTGGTATAATTAAAAAATACGTTTATACTTACAAGTTGTGTGGCAATGTTAAGAACGGTCTTGAGGGTAAACCTTCTCCCACAGAGGTCAAAGAGATCTTCTAGGCTTGGTCCGAGAAGTTCCATTACCAGAGCGTTGTACTTCCCACATGGGCCAAAGTAATACACCTCCGGTATACCCTCTGCACGAACATTGTTAACTATACATATGAATAAAGTAAAACGTCCTTGAACCCAACCCCATCCCCCAATGATACGCGTTTGTTATTTTTGTTCAAGACAAAATCTATGTTCGTCGAATTAAAAATGTTACAATGTTTTTGATTGTATCCACCATTCCATTCGACTGTCACAAAAAATATATATATAATTGAAATAATAAATCCAATTTAAAAAAAGATAACAATGCATAGAAATATAATATTATCTTCGAATTAAATGATACATTTAGCTTATAAAGCAAAGTGTCAAGATAATCATTCATGAGTTGCCCTTAATCATCCTGGCCTTCTTCCCACGTGAGACTAAAAACACATTCAGTTGGAACCTACTCAAATATCTCTAACAGCATCTAAGTGTTTCTCTGAAGATATTATAGTCACTTTGAAATGCATACGTTAAATAATAATAAAAATGAACAACATACATATATTCTTTATAATTCTATTATCGAATCTTTGTAAACATGATGTTTGATTTGAAATAAAGAATGTATCAAAATTTTGAATGAAAATGATAAGTCTTTTCTTTTATGAAAATACAATAAAATAATCATTAGATTAAATAAACTTAAAAATATGAAATATCGTTAAAGATTAACACTTACCATGTGTACCTAATAATTTGTAAAACCTATATTCTAAATGTAGCTGTGGCGCCTTTGACTTCATTGGTTCCTGTAACATCGTAATGAGAGAAAATCGTGTTAACTTATCAGATTTATACTTCTATATTTAAAAAAAAAAAGAAAAAATTAACAAAGAGTTAGAAAGACTTTGGAGCTACAAAAACGATGTTCTTTCTCTGACGCAACGCTTTCCAAGATCTAATGTAATTTTAAGTTTAAGCGATTTCTTTATTTTAAATTGGATGTAGAAAATGTAATACGATTTTGTGGTTTTACAAGATTATTTCTTTCTCTCTCACTTTCATTCTTATTCTTTTGATTTGATTTTATTTTATTACTAACAACAAAAAGAAATATATTCAATTTCAAATGATCTTACCATTTTTATTGCTACGTGCTCGTTATTGTAGAGGTTCTTCCCTAAAACATAAATTCAATTTCTCAAACAAATATAATATGATAATTGCATTATTATTATTATTATTAATTATTAATTATTATTATTATACACAAAATTTTCAAGGACATAATAATAAGAACATAATAAATATAATTATTTATGTCGGTAAAAAAATTGATTACAGTTATATGCGAAAGTAAATTGAACACTTTTAATCCTATTCTTTAACAAACAAACAAACAAATAAATCTTAAAACTATGTCAAGAAAAAAATTGTTTTTATGTTAGGCTCCAAAACTAGTTACCCCATCCACGTATATACTCGATTACTTGAATTATTAATTTATGTGCAACATATCGTTTAGTTTATATGTTTAGATATGAATGAATCATTAACATCATATTTTAGTGAAAATACATTTATACGTAGATTAGAGAATAAGTAATAATCGTTTAAAGAAAATTTAAATGGCCGGCATCATCTGAAGTGGCACGTTAAACCATCAATTTGTTACTCGATGACGCGTTAATTGCATAATAATGAAATAGCAAGTAATAACAAGGTAACATTGATTACTGTACTAATGTGCAATAATATCAAATTATGCGAACGAATACTTTCAATATTTATTATGAAAGTTTCGCCAATTGTACGTTGTTTTTTCATGACCTTGCTACTAGTAAAAGCACCAAAACCTTACATCCGATCAACGTGTAAAGGACATTAAAATGTTTTAAGGTTTCAAGATAATACTTTTATCGTTGGTATCTTGTTCCTGGTATATCAAAATCTATACTGAATACTTTGATAGTTAGTAGGTCAGGTCACTTTAGTTATTCCAATTTAATAGTAAAATTGAAAGTATTTGCAAACTTTATATCAAATTTTAATCATCGACGAACTTTGATATATTATTGGAATATTTTTATCTATGATATATTCCAAACTAATAGAATATTTAATTAATCGAATAATATATATATATACACACACGATTACTTAGGATATTTTCAAAAAAAATGTTTCATGATAAAAACTGGATAAAATAAGTCATAAAAAATGGTTTCCTATTTTTCTCAGAAAAAACTACTGGTGGCATTTTAAATGGATATTACGTTGACAATTTTAAAATTACACTTTTCATTTGAATTAAATACAGATTGCGAATGTAATTCATGATAATGTTCAAATGATGGATGAGTCAACAAGGATTCTACGTGACAAACGATACAAATATCTTGATATCAATCTAAATAAAAAAAATAAGTCACACCTTTAATTGCTTTGCTTTTTATTGGACTCGTCATATTGATAATATAAAATAAATTTATTAATCAGTGCTACTTATGAATGAGTTTTAATTAGTATGTATATTCATATTTACATACATTCGAATGAGTTCCCATTGTTCAATTATTATACTTGCTTTACAATTAGATTAATTTCAATTTACAACCACATGAATATGTTGACAGGCAAAATTATCATTGCAAACCATAATGAAAAAAAAATATGCTAATGTTTACTGCAATTCTTGGATATAATTATATATATGGATATATATATTTTTATCTCGTAGAAGAAAGAAAAAAGAATTTATTTCATTCTTGGAAATAGAATACGATTCCTGTGTTAAATTAAATTACACAGGAAGAATATTTATATATTCTTAACATTATTGTTACAAATTTATTTACATTAAGATACAACAACGTATGAGTTAATATGAAAGGAAATAATTTATATCTTAGAACCATCGAGCAAAAGTTGACCAAATTACGATAGATCATCATCAGCCCGTTTTCCATATTGAAAGCTTACCAACGATTAAGTTAATTAGCTATTCGATTATCGATTCGAACCTTCAACCTATCAAAGAGAGAGAGGGAGAGAGGGAGGGAAGGGGGAGAGCTGTTAAAGGAAGGAACGATTGATCGATCAGATGGTTAACTCATTCGATATCAGAATATAATCGAATTTTGAAAACTAGACGAAAGACGACGAGTTTAGATCAACGATTAAATTTCTTTCTTATGAGTCATTGATGCATGCAGTCTGCTAAATTAAATTTCCATTAAGTCTATTTTATCATCGGATAAGTGACATTTGCACCGAACTGATTGTGAGATATTATTTTCGTAGAAATAAATTCATATCTACGGTAAAGATCTTTTCGTAGTTTAATAATGAAATAATTTAAATCGTTGAACGTAATTATGATTGCGTAATATTTTGCATGAAAATAACTATGAACAACTATGGGAAAAGAGAAAGAAGATAAGAAAATGTCGTTCTAAGTTAGTATTTAAAGCACTTAGAAATTTTTTCTTTCGAAAGCTCAGGGAAAAGTGTGAAGAATAAGTCATTCCGGAAATGTTTCGTCTTATCGATAATACTAACTCACGTAGAATTCGTCGTGAATATATAACACTAACAATAAGATGGAATATGCCAGTTTAGAAACTTTACTAGATTCCTCCTGACTCTCAAGTATTAAGAGGAACTAACCCTCAAACGAGAAGTAGTTGGAATGCTATTGCGTTGGTTTGTCTGATAAGAGAATTCAATGAGAAAGGATTAGTTTAATAATTAATATCAAAGTAAATTATATCAAATTTATCTCAAGAATAATATCTAATACAAGAAAATATATTATTTATGTCATATTGAATTGTCATAAATTATCAAGATTTATTATAGTAAAATAAAATAAGTCAATAAGAAATGATCAATTTAAGAATTCGTATCAAAATAAGGATTATTAAATTTATTATGAATGATTTGTAAATACAATAATGTTATTTAAATATTATTTATTAAATATTATATTGTATCAATTGTCATAAATTATCTTATAAAATGATAAATAACTTTTACTCTGTAAACTATTATCTTTGAATTGAGTTAGGAAAATACTTCAAATATTTTGTAATTAATAATTAAAAGTAAAAAAATATGTTTTTAAGATGTTTCCAAGTCACATACTGTACATTAGAAATTATTTACATGTGTAATTGACGAGCCTACACTAATTATATCGTGAGAAATGAATGATACAATAAATCCATATTCTTTTTTGAGGTAGTACTCTGTCTACTTCCCTTTCTCTTTCTCTCTCCCTCTCTCGTTTTTAATCCCAGACTTTAGTCATTTCCTCTATTTTTATTAAAATACTCGTCGATGCAAGCGCAAACAGTTCTGAATCGATACGAGGAAATCTAATTACGGGAGTGAGATCACTTGGAGGATCGATGAAAGTGAAGAATCTCTTTCTTCTTTTGTTTTTTTAATGTTTTTTTATTGCTAACCAGACGAAACAAGCAACTTGATTACCATGAAAAAAAAACAATAATAATTAAATAATTTCGATCTAATATTTTATTAGATAAAATTTTCAAGCAGAAAGTCATCAATGATCTGAAAATGTTATAACAAATGTATTTTTTAGTTTAAATAATACAAAATATTAATAAAGTACGTTAGAGTGTTCAATATATTCTAAATGATCGATAAATAACCAATTAAGCGTGTTTGACGACTATATCCGTCATGAAGATGTGGCAAAATTTTGTGTTATGACGTCTATATCCGTCATGCGTAAAAGTTTGTTACAATTTGATGTTTAAATTGTAATTTTGATAGCGAAAACTAAATTATATTCGTAAATTTTAATATGTTTAAAATGTTTAGAGGTCAAAAAAAAGTCAAAAATAAATTTTTAACTTTTATAAATATTCGATTTTTTCTCTAATTTTTCCGATTATTACGTATCATGTATGTTCATATTAAAAACTGTGTGTACATTATTAACAAAATTATTCATTTTTTAAAATAAAGTCGTCTTTTTGACCCAATATTTTAAAAGCGCCACTTACTCTGTGTTTGACGACTATATCCGCATCGCTTCATTATCGCGACACACACCGGAGCGCGCTCTGCGCACTGATCGCCACACTTAACTGATTAAAAAAAATGTATATTGCAATTTAAAAGCACGAAATACAAATACGATGTACCATCTTCTTCGAAATTCACCATTAGACTGGCACGTTGTCCTCTATGAAAGTTCTTTTATTGAATTGTTTATTATCTGACTTTTCCTAGGCTACTTGGATTAGGTACTTTTACTAGCTACTATGGGGTATTCCATACCAAATCAACCACATTTGACCCTGACCCTTTTCGATTTGGCTGAAAGTTTTTTATTCTATTCTACCCTATGAAAAACAGTTCTCAAAATTTTTTTCAAAGTTTTTTACCAAACCCCAAAAAAATTATTAATTTTTGAAAAAATGGCTATAACTTCTTCAAAATTCAACCTATTGAGACGTTTTTTAAAAATAATTTTTGTTTTTAAATGTACTTTCGAGAAAAGGGTCAGAGTCAAATGTGGTTGATTTGATATGGAATACCCCATATGCATAATGAAAATAATATTCGGATATAAATAACAATCAATAAAAGAATTTACATAAATGACAACATACCAGTTTACCATAAAATTTTGAAGAGGATGGTATATGGATCTTATACTTTGTGCTTTTAAAAAAATTAAATATATATTTCTTTTGATTAATTAACAATCATTTAATATATGTTGAACATTATCAAGATATTTTATATTCCCATTCATTCTTCTATAAAGAAAAACATATCGTAATAACTATTTGATAGACGTATCTCATCGTACATAACACATATACACATACATATTACACTAACACTAGAAGCTTCCATAATTTCTTTTAATTGTAAGTTTTATTATGCTTCTTCTTTTTTCGTGTCATTTCATAAAATTTTGTCATTATCATCGTCTACGAAGTTTCAATTAAAAAGGAAAAAAAAGAGGAAAAGAAAAACAAGATTTGGTAATTACGCAGGATTGAATTTAGAAACACTTTCTTTTCTAAGATAATTTTTAACAAATCTCTTGAACTGTCTTTTTACAATGATTTCCAGTAATTTAGTACTATTATCACTCACGTCAGAATGTTTACGCATAACAAGTATGAAGGATAG